GATAAGAGAGAGAAAGAGAATGTGAGAGAGTGGGCAGGAAAAGAGAATGGGAGAGATGTGGAGAGAGAGGTAGAGAGGCAAAGTGTATTTCGAGACAAATTGGTAACATGTGACCAATCTTTTTAAAAGGGAACGAGAGGCGACAAAGGGCATTTTGGTTCTAAAACTCATTGATTATTTGATTGTGGGTAGATATAAGAAAAAAAAGTGTTGGGGTTTAGTGTATAATATAAAAAGTAACGGTGATAGAATGTGTGAAAAGTTGAAATTGGAGGTATCTATAATTTTCTCTAAATATTCTAATCTCTCCAAAAAATTTAAGAAATTTGAGTTGTAGGAAAATGAATTAACATTTAAACGAGAACAATCCCAAATAACATACCATGTTCTCTTAATCTAAAACCTAGCTTAGCCAAAAATATGATTTTCAAAGTTCTACGACATTCTTGATAAACCTGATTTTGTATAATCCATAGGTCACTCTAAGAAAACTAGATTTGCAGACATATCTCGAAAATATAATTAATGTTGGCAAGAATATCTTAAATATCCAAAAGCATACATGATTTTAGAAATATATCTGAATTCCAACTTAGCGAAAAACATGATTTTCAATTTGTAGTTCACTCTTGGCAAACCAGATGAAATATATCTAAAATTCGTTTAAATGTGATAATAAATATAGAAAATCATAGAAGATTATATTGGTATGTCAAAATTCCTACGTACCACAAACAGGATTTTCAAATTTCTAGGTCACACTTATAAAACCAGATTTTTGAGATATATCTAGAACCCCCGATTATGTCGGAAAGAAGATCATATCTTGAAAATATTTCTAAATTCCAACTAATCTTTAACGAAAAACTTTGATATTCAAAATTCATTGTCACTCTAAAATCCCATCAATATTGGCAAGAAGATCATAAATATCCAAGAGCAAGCAATTCAATAAGATATCTACTTCCATTTAAAAGTAGGTGGCCAAAAGGAAACGTTGGAGCATAGACAAAATAATCAAAACCTTGATATTAGCAAAATAGAAATTACTTATCATTAATACAAAGGGGCCTCTTTAGCATTTCTTATATTTTTATGAGATTTCTGTCCAGAGAGCATGAAACCAATTGAACGTGGCGATTAAGTCGTGGATAGTGTGACTTCATACGCACAAATTGGTGTTTTGTAAGGGCCGATATTTGCAGTACATTAGCTTTGCCTATATATTGTTATTGTCGCTTTTGGATCTAAGTTTGAAATAAATAAAAGGATGTCTTAAACATAAACCAATTTAATCAGTTTGGTAGGGAGCTTGTATGCCAGAACGAATCAAGCTACAAAATCACAGAAATCAATGTTAAATTGAAAATTTAGGGTATGTTCGCTTGTAGCATATAAAAGGAACTGTCGGATGTTGATGATATGAAAAGAATTGCAACACTTGGCATAAATGTAGAACATGCTTATACTAGTTCTACAATTGCAAAATAATTGCTATTACCATAAAAGCATGGTGGACATTTTGAGATGTATGAGTAAAAGATAAGAAAGGATAGAATTCGAAATGAATCAATTCGAGAGAATTTAGATATGGTACCAATAAGTGATAAAATGAGAGTAGATTTAGGTGGGCTGGCTTTGTATGGCGCTGACCAAGTACAACACCGGTTAGGAGGTACGAGTTAGTTCAAGTAAAAAGACTGAAAATGACATATAGGGTATGCCGAAAAGGATGTGATTGGAAGTAATTCGAAAAGATATGGGAACTTATAGCCTCAATGAGGTATGACCTTTAATAGAAGAGAATGGGTGTGAGTTAGTTCATAGAAGAGCTGGAAAGGGCATGGGGTAGGCCCAAAAGGATATGGTTAGAAGAAGTCCGAAAAGATATGCGGACTTATGACCTCAATGAGTTATGACCTTTAATAGAGGAGAATAACGTACTAGGATTCATGTAGCCGATCCCAATTAATTTGTAAAAAGCTATGATAATGTTTATGATGAGGGCTCAACGTATAAAGTGATGTAATGGATTTTTTTTTTATTTTAAAAAATTTAGGTTATAATTATTTTGGGTTTCTAGGATTTTTTTTTTTTTCCAGAGATATTCATATATATTTAGTTGTATAGAATTAAAAGTAAAATTAGATTTTTTTTTAGATAATTCAGTGGGGAAGTCATGCCCCTACCCATTTTTCAAGGGAACAAAGAATTAGCTTTTGAAAGGTGTTAGTAGGTGGTATTAATGATGGGAATGAAACCCACAACATGGCGACTAAGGGACCCAGCCTCTTTCCCAGAATTAGAATTCTCTCTCTTTAAACAATGAAACGTAAATGGTGCACTTCCAACTTTAGGTTGGTGTCACTAAAATCACTATTCCAATTGCATGGGATCTGGAAGACACATGTGCCCAAACTGTACAATTTTATAGACTTTTGAATCCATCAAGTCATCCCTTGCCTCAAAGAGTCCCAATGTTTGTAACATTCAATGCCAATAATACCCATGGGCTCTTGGTAAATTTCTTTCCAGCTTACCCCTTAATTGGTGATGGAAAACATATTGCTCATTAGCGGAAATTTTAAGTGCACTGATTTCTAATGCCTCTGGGAGCACACTGTCTGTTTGCTACCTCCGGTAAAACACAAGTTAAGAGTGTCTAGGACCTTAATTTTTTAGGATACAACCCCTTGAATGTAGCTACCAATCTCAATTAAAAAATAAAAAATCCAAATCTCACACTTTATGTGCCCGAAAAAAGCTATATTTCAAGATTGAACGAGCCCATCTAATTTTTAGCGAGAGCAAGATATAAGTAATTAAAAACTCAAAATCCAATTTCTCTTTTTAAAATAAGGGATTATCTATAACGAGACCAAAATAGCTGTATTGCCCCGAGATTGTTTATATACAATCTTGCGCCAGATAATTTAATATAACAATGAGCCAACAATTAAGTCACGAGCAGTGTGACTCACTATGGCTTCATCGTCAACCATTAAGTCACGGACAATGTGACCATACATTGGCCCTACACAAATTTGTGTTTGGTATGGGCTGATATTTGCAGCAAATCGGCCTTGCTTATATATATTTTTTGTCATTTTCAGGCATAAGTTTGAAATGAACAAAAGGACGTTTTACTCTAAAGCAATTTAATCAATTTCGTGAGGTATCTGATATGCGGGTCCAAACAAGCTCCAAAATCACAACAATCGATGATTAAATTGAAAATTTAGGCATGCTAGCCTGCAACATATGGAAAGAACTGCACAAACATGTTGTTCTCATAGTTCTACAATTGCCAAAGAGTTGCAATTACCATATAAGCATGGCGGACATATTGATATTTATCAGCCCCACACAAAACAGTGACATCCGTAACATATATGCCATGCAAACAAGCCCTTACTCCTTTTCGGATTAGCTTAAAGAATTCTCAGGTTTCGTGAAATTTTTCTTATATTTTTTCAACTTATGATTAAACCGACTTGACTAATAGTTGGATTAGTTTTGACCGAACCAAACCTTTCAATGATTGGATGGCCGGTCCAATCTTGATGACTTTATATGTATTTTTATGGGTTCTATAAAATCATAAAAATAAGCAAAATATCAAATAATGCACCATTTCATCTTATTTCATAAATCTCCTAAACATTTATCCTTCCAACAATCAACAAACACCTAGAGGAAATACAGATCAGCAATTTTGAACTGATAGAAAATCTCTCCTCTCTCTCTCTCCCTCTCCCCCTTTCTCTTTCTAAAAAGTAAAAACAATAAAACGTAATTGGCGCACTTCCAACTTTATGTTGGTGTGACTTAAAGCAGTATTCGAATTGCATGGGATTTGGAAGACACATGTGCCCAAATTGTACCATTTCCATACTTTAAATTCCATTAAGTGACGCCATGCCTCAAGCCTTATAATGCTTGTGAGATCCAATGCCAATAATACCCCATGGGCTCTTAGTTATTCCATGAAATTTTATGTGAACTGAATTCTTGCGTTTGCAGGAGCATTCTGTCTATTTTCCACCTCCGGTAAAGCACACATTAGGAATGTTTAGGACTCCAACTTTTAAGATGGAACCTCTTCAACGAAGCAACTAATCTTAAACAAAGGGAAAAAAGAAAAAAAAATTCACATCGCACACATATGCGTGTGTGAAATAAAAATACAGCTCAAGAGTGAATAGGGCTTATCCAATTTCCGGTGAGAGCAAGATATAAGTGTTCAAGAACTCAAAATTTAATTTCCCTTTCTTAAAATAATCATCTGGTCATTCTTATGAGATGGATGGTATCATATTCAATATATAGTATTTTCCATTGTGGTCACTATTGTAAAGAGTGGGATCATTTGTTTAACATTTTTGAGAGAAAGAGAGATGACTTTCAATTTATTAATTTTCACTATGGCCACTATTGTGAAAGATGGGATCATTTTCTTATCCTATTTGAGAGAGAAAAAGGTGGGATCATTTCTTTAACATAATTGATAGAGAGAGAGAGATTATGTATGGTCACTTTTGTAAAGGGTGGGATCATTTCCCTCACATATTTGAGAGAGTAAAAGGTGGGATGATTTATTTAACATATTTGAGAAAGAGAGAGTAAAAGGTGGGATGATTTGTTAAACATATTTGAGAAAGAGATGGGGGGGGTAGATTATTTCTTAAACATATTTGATTGAGAGAGAGAGAGAGAGAGAGAGAGAGAGAGAGAGAGAGAGAGAGAGAGAGAGAGAGAGAGAGAGAGAGAGAGAGTAGT